AGACCTGACAAGAGATATTTTCGAATTAGTCATGTCCTTATGCTAATAAGTAACTTGCAAAAAAGATTTTTCTTCAACTCGTCTGCAAAAAATCTCCAGCCAAATCTATTTCGACTTCATATGTGCACTCCATTTACACAGAAGAACGCACTCGAAACACATAGACTAAGCATATCTAAGTAAATCATTGTGGATGCATAGAATCGGAATCCAGCCACTAATTTAGCCACTAATCCACATTTTTTTGTAAAAGATTAGTCAAAACAAATTAAAATCTTAATTAAATAGTTAGGTTTTCTATATAATCAGAAATTAAAAGCGATAATTTGATGTAAAAGGGTTAATTATTCAAGACATATTAGGAAAAAACCACTACGCATTATCTTTACTTCTTAGTTTAAACGTTTATTGATAAAATAACTAATAAGACATGCAATCGACTCGAGGTTATTACAGTAGGCATAAAGACCACAACCCTAAACAGGTTAGTAATATGAAGGAAAAAAGAGAGAAGAATAAAGAAAATCCATAATAATAAAAAGAAAGTAGAATTTCATTTCTCGCGTCTATCGTATTTGAAACAAAGAGTGAACTAAACCTTATGATATCATTGACTAGAGAATAGCAGACCATATGATGTCAAGGGAAGAAGGGATTGAGAATAAAATGGCGAACAGTTGATCCACCCTCTATCATCTCTAGCTTTTCTCAATAAAAACAACCGATTTTCAACTGAGACGTGTCGGTATTGCTAGTCCGACTGTTCAACATGAGAAGTTTGACGGTCAAATAAATAAAATATAGACGTTCAAAAACCTTCTTTCGAGTCATATTATACAGTTTACAGTGAAGGAGAAAATGCTCTATTGTCTCCTCGCTATTATTCCCATAGGAATACCGAGACGAACTGACGCGACCCCGTTCATATAAATAGAAATTCAGCTGCGGAAAATTATATCTCAAATGCATAAACATGCTTTCAGACCTCCTATTTGGAAAAGTGATGTGTTTGGGAAAAACAAGTTCCTCCCTTTCGTCCATGGATGATTTTTCAGCTTGTTTTTACACACATATATGGAAATGTTATCAGCAAAGCATTCCATTCATTTGTGGCCACCATAAAAATTTTCTAACACGTTGACATGGTTTCAGTCGTCCACCACTTCTTAGATTATATTTCTAATTTTACTGTCACTGAATGTAATCGGCTAAGTTAGATAATGTGAAACTGCATATCATTTTTTATATAATGTGCCCAACGATTCATGTAAAAAATATCACATAGTTTCAACCATTCCCAAACCAGATAATACTTTTTCACTTGATGTTCCTTTCATACAGTCTAACACAACAAGGTCAGTATGATACTGAATTATTTCCATCTTTTTGAGATTGTCTTCAGTTGTGATAGAAAAAAGGCCAGAGCCATAAATAAACTAGATGCCAACTGCGCTCTGCGAAGATTGGAAGCCGACTGACAAGGGAACCTCTTCAGGTTGCAAATCTTTTTCGGGCTAAAATCTAGTGGGTTATAAGTTATCAACCATGCTGATTCCCAATATAACAGTCATTTTGGCCAATGGGTCTTCAGAGACCGAATTTCTGGAAAACCAGTTTTTCAAAACTCCCAAAAGTAACCAAAACCTTTGTTAATGAAGCAAGATTGTAGCCCGCAGATTTCTGATTAAAACGAGACCCCTCTCAGCTCTACACGATCTTTCTTTGCAAAGTTATAGAGTTGCAAGAAAAGCCCTAAATGTTCATTGTCAGCTCAAAGCTACAGAAACAAGAAGAAATTAATTTAGGGCTTTTCTCGTAAATTCTACAACTTTGCAAAGAAAGATCGTGTAGAGCTGAGAGGGGTCTCGTTTTAATCAGAAATCTGCGGGCTACAATTCTGCTTCATTAACAAAGGTTTTGGTTACTTTTTGGAAATTTTGAAAAACTGGTTTTCTAGAAATCCGGTCTCTGAAGACCTATCGACCAAATGACTGATATATTCGGAATCGGCATAGTCGATAACTTATAATCCAGTAGGTTTTATCCCGAAAGCGATTTACAATCTGGGGAGCTTCCCTCGTGAGTGAACGTTTGTGAGAAGTAAGTAAGACAGAATTTCTGTCTTACTTGAATTGGGTAGGGATGCCAACTAAAAAAGAACTAAAGGGGGATTGTTTTTTCTACAAAGGAGAACAATACAAAACATATTATATGGCGTCCGATGTCATTGAGAAAATTAAAGGCACATGAGTATATTCTTTTATTCTGGTTTTTCTAATATTATTATGCCAAAATGTTAATTTAAGACAAATATCTTTTGTTACACTAAAAACAATAAATGATCCATTTAAGCGTAATTTTTTACTTCTATGTACGTATTTTTCACTTCCACGAATACTCTTGAGAAGTTCTTTGTTACTTAAAATCAACATTTTAAGATTACAAAATTTTGCCAACAATAATTTGGACAAAATTAATCATTCTGCGGTGATATTCTTTGATATCGAGCAAGCATTCGATAGCGTATGGCATGAGGGACTCATTTATAAATTATTCGATCTGAAGCTGCCGGATTATATCATTCGTTGGTTGATATCTTTTCTCAGCGAAAGAACGGCAGCAATTGAACTGGAAAATCTGCTATCGCGAACATTCAAGCTGAAAAGTGGTACTCCTCAAAGATCACCACTCTCTCCTCTCCATTTTGTTTACAGCTGATTCTATGGATGGATTGCCATTCCACACGGCTCATGGCAGAGTTGGAACCGGGCCGGCAGACCGGCCGGTCACCAGCCGGTGCCGGTCCGGTTCGGTATACAAGTTTAGACCGGCCGGTCTCCACCGATCTTTTGCCGGTCCAGAAATATTTTCAAACCGGCCGGTGATCGACCAGTTTTAAATTCTTAGCATTTTTCTCTTCTTCGTTCAAGAAAACTGACATGTTCTTCAGACATTAAATTTAAGACAAATGACTTAACATACAATAACCTATAATTAAAATAAGAACAAACCAGACTATTTTCTTCTTCTTTTGTTTCTTAGTCATTCTTTGATAGTGATACGGAAAAGGATTAAATCCCTATCTAGCTATAGCTATTACCATCATGTTTTCCGTATCACTATCAAAGACTAAGAGAAAGAATGACAACAAATTCTTCCTATCTTAGCTAAAATTGCAAAATCTATTTATGTTATTCAAACATCGTCAGCTGAATCTGAAAGACATTTTTCAACAAGTGGACAAATTGTCACTGAACAACGATCACAATTAGATCCTGAATGTGCTGAATCGTTAGTAGTTCTGAAAGAAGCATATTTAAATAATAATTGGCCGAAAGAATAAGAAGTTTTCATTTCTTTTGTTTGTGAATATTTCGCGTTCTGGTTTGATTCTCAGTTTGTCTGGTACTATTTAATCTGTTGCAGATATTGTTGTAAACTGGAATTAGGACAGTGCAGAAAAGTGATAACTTCAAATAAACAAGTAACAGAAATATGAAAAAGCTAGTGAAAATGACTTTTTCATTAAAAATATTTTGATTTACTGATAAAAGCGTCTAAACCGCCCAGTTTTTAGCCGGTTTTTCACCGTTTTCGAAATTTGTTGAAAACCGGCCGGTCTTTTTGCCGTTTTTCACCGGTCTAAAAAGATTTTTGGGCCGGCCGATCACCGGTCGGTCCGGTCCCGCCTGCGGTTTTGAACCGGCCGGCCCGGTCCGGCCTCTTATTTTTAGACCGGTTCCAACTCTGGATCATGGACTTTTTGCCGACGATACGGCTTTATGGACATCCTGTAACACTACTTCTGGTTTAAACCGGCGTCTTCAGGAATGCGTGAATGTTTTCGCTCGTTGGTGTGAAACCTGGAAGCTCACTTTACAGTCAAGTAAAACTGAAATGCTTCACTTCAGCGTACACCCACGTAAACAATACAAAAATCAAGTACAAGTCATTGTGGGAGCAGCAACTATTTGCCCACTGACACACGGTATCTAGGGGTGATTTACGGCAAAACACTTTCGTGAAAAGAACATGTGAACCATGTCAGAGAAAAGGTCAACTCCAAAATCAATCTGTTGAGATTTCTTTCACGATCAACTCCAGAATCGAATGATCGAATCATGGTGAACTTATTTAAATCTCTAATTAGACCCGTGTTAATATTTGGTGTATCATTCTTGCTAAAAGCAGAAGACAAAATATGACAAGAACTTCAAACACTTCAGAACAAAGCATTACGAGCTGCACTGGGAGTTCCACCCTACACATCTAGAACATATATACATCAACAAAGTAGAATACCAAGGCTAAAAGAATACTGTGAACACTTAACTAAAAGAGCTCTTCTACGAGCGGAAATTTACGAGGACATTATCACGATGGAAAACCTATACACTTTATTATATTTGTAAACTTTTACTTTCCGTTGTATTGTTTTCTGACAAAAGACTTCGGTCATCAGTTAGCTTGTATATCCTTTTTTCAGGTTTATTAATAATAAACTGTTGTTTCCTCATTTAAAATCAAAGAATGAAAACTAGTACACGTTAAGTTTGTATTCATTCTAATTCTCAATTCTGCGTTCAGTGCTTTTATGTGAAATCTCCAAGAGGACAACAGCTGATTTTTCGATTTAAATCTAAAATCGCTAAAAATTGGTAAGGTCTTTCCGCGCAGGTCAGTCCACTATTACATTCACTATTAGCGGCGAAAATTTCACTTTGCCCATCGTGTAGAGCATCAAAAATAATCCAAAGGTCTCGCTTACGCTTTTTTGAAAAAACGTGTGGAAAGTGGTTTTCTAGACACCTCAAGTTTTTGGTGAGAGTGAAACACAAGTCGGTGAAAATCAACGAAACATCGCATAATTATACATCAAATTGTAGCTCTTGACGAGTTGATTCTAATGGTCAAGGAATTTGGTCTCGATCTAACTTTACATTCGAGTGATGCTCCATTTACTTGAAAAATTCCTGAAGTTTGACCTCGATTTTCTCCTAAACGCTCCGAAATTTTTTCGAGATTTTTTCAGGATAGGGAACCACTTAGTAGGATCTATAACTTTGCCCATAAAACTATCCTCGACACTTTCCATTTTTCACCCTCGGTTTCCCAAAAATCCTCTTAGAAAACTGCGGTACGGAAACACAAAGAAGCCTCAGAAAACATTGGAGTACATTGAATTCTTAATGCTGAGCATGAATATATCACAATAGCTCAATATTCTTTTCGTGAAGTAAGGTTTTAAAATAGAACTAAGGAAATGCTCAGAAAACCACTTTCCACACGTTTTTTCAAAAAAGCGTAAGCGGGACCTTTAGATTATTTTTGATGCTCTACACGATAGGCAAAGTGAAATTTTCGCTGCAAGATGATCTGTATAAATTGGGGGAGCTGTGTGGAAGCACCCGGTAAAAATCATTGAAAGTTAGTGGAAATCGACGAAAATCGAAAAATCAGGTGTTTTCCCCTTGGAGATTTCACATAAAAAAGATCACTAAACGCTCAGGGTGTGTTGAACTGGAAGCGTAATATAAAAGTGAAAAATCCATTGAAGGCGGTCAAAAGAAAATATCCTTGAAAAGGGAGACATCCTGGGGACAGATTTTTGCGGGGGACAAATCTTTGAATGGGGGGACATCTGACAACCCTGCTCTGAAGAAAAGCAATAAGCCGACAGTTCACTACGTTCACTCAGTAGGCTTAATAAATTAAAGACGCACGACTTATATACAACATCAAGCGTTTTTCTGTTTAACAACCATTGACTGTATTTCAAAAGACCAACAATCGAGCTAGCATCTGAACAAATTTTATTAATGTAAGTTGTCCAACTGAGATCATAAGACAAATTAATACATACTTAGATACTTTACAATCCCGATTTCTCTGATCACATTTCCATTAAGAAGGAGAGAAGACAACTGTAAGGCTCTTGATCTATACCAACGACAGAGAACGTTATTGATTCATATTTATTGAAATTAAAAGATTCAAACACCTTTACTTCTTCCTGTGGTTAGTTTTTCTATTTTTGTGATAAAGTAAGATAATGGCGAATCGATCGATATTAGCACCGGTTCAAGTGCAAATGAACTTCAGTTTTTCTTTCCTTTTTGTTGGCGATGTAGGCAATGTATTAAACTGTGTGTGTGTGTGTGTGTGTGTTTATTTGCCAAATTTAAACATGTAGCCGGTGTCAAAGTTGACCGGGACAATGTATTAAACTGTATCATCTGCATCATGCACCATGGATACATTTTTTTAAGAAATCTACGTCTCTTTTCACAGTGCAGAAAATTGTATTTGAAACTGGTTAGTAACTGGAAATGAGACTATTGTTCGTCTATCATATCCTCCCATTGTGTCGATGAGATAAACGAATTCGATCGAAGTATAATGCGTTAAACTGTTATCATATCATTAATTTCAATTATTCCTTTGATTCTTCAGACTTTACGAGATCGACAGCCTTGAATATTTATCAAACTCTAGTTTTTACAAACTTTCAACTTTTCGAAAATACTTTTTAACTCTTTTAACTCTTTGTATTCTGTTGAGAAAGAGTTACTCTACTTTTTCATTAATAGCATAAACTCACAAAATCACTAATTGTAAAAGATTAGTCAAAACAAATTAAAATCTTAATTAAATAGTCAGATTTTCTATATAATCAGAAATTAAAAGCGATAATTTGATGTAAAAGAGTTAATTATTCAAGACATATCAGGAAAAACTTCTACGCATTGTCTTTACTTCTTCCTGTAGTTAGTTTTTCTGTTTTTGTGAAAAAGTAAGAAAATGACGAATCCATCGATATTAGCAGCAGCTCAAGTGCAAATGACATGGTTTCAAATTGTTTTCCTTGTTATGGGTGATATAGGCAATATATTAAACTGTATGATATTTTTACAAAAATCTCTCAGACACAATAATTGTTGTCAATATTTTTTGGCTTGCTCCATTACCAATCTGATTATTCTTAATACTGGAATACCAACCAACATTTTTAGCCTCACTAACACAAATCCAGCCACGTACTCTCTGGTGTATTGTAAAGTTCGTATGTATATAATTCATTCACTACTAATGGTATCACGATTTTACATTGTTCTTGCATGCGCCGATCGATATGCCTTGTGTTCTCCAAATCCTCGAATTCGCGATTTTACTCGTCCAAAAGTTGCTCGCGTTTTAATTCCTCTAACACTATTTGTCTTTTTTCTAATGCCTATTCATCTGCCCATCTTAATGACCATTCAACAGAGTAAATGTATTATGCCCGGTCTATATAATCTATTATGGAGCATCTACATAATGTTATTAGCCGGCTTGTTTCCTCTAATATCAATGGCAGTATTTGGTCTACTAGCTTGTCGGAATATCAGGTATCTTCGACGCCGTATACAGCCTTCCGGTGTCAGCCAGCGTATACGAATAAAAAATCGAGATTATCAATTAATGAAAATGCTGTTTGTCGAAGTAATCATTTATATTTTAACTACGCTTATGTATCCTTCGTATGCTTTTTATTCGGCTTTAACATTGAATGCAAGTAAAGGCACGCAAAGAATTGCAAATGAAGCATTCGTAAGCTTTCTATCGGGCTCATTTTTACTGTATATTAATAACTGTTCCACATTCTACATTTATGTGTTCACATCAACTACATTTCGAAAAGAATTACGCTCAATTGCAGTTAATTATATCCTCAAATATCTCCTTAAAGAAAACTCTAATCAAGGATCAGCACAACGAAGTAGTAATATTGGTCAAGCAGTAGTAGTCATCGATCCTTTTCGTACTGTTCAACAAGGAAAAACAAGATAAACAAATTCTCTATGTTCCTGAAAGAGATTAAAAATATTTATTGTATGTCGTTTAAAACTATTACGCCGTATGAATATGATGCTTATAAAAAACCTAACATTTCTTGATAAGATCTTAGAGAAATCGTACGAGGATCCTTTGAGGATTTAATTTACTGTTAGGCAGTAATAATAGGAAAAATAGACAGGAAGTATGTAGAATTTTGTCTAGGAGGCAAACGAGTAGTGAGACCCTACCTCGCTTACTTTCTTTTAAATTTTCAATGCTGTTTTTGCTTTTTCTTGACAAATAAACAGAGGTGATTTTGAGTTTATTTTTCTGTTATAAACTTGACTGAACTAATTAGACAGAACGGACTAATGAATAATAATGGATACACTTTAATACACATTTAAATTATACATCTATCAGGTAATAACACTGTTTGTATGTCCTCTGTGTCTTAAACCGGTTTTAGGTAAAAATTTTAAACGCCATTGTAACAGTTTTCATACCAGTATTGCAGTATACACACATGCTCTATCGGAATATAGTCAAAAAACATATAGCCCAGTCGGGATATAAATTCGATTTTTTTAAATAAAATCTGATAAAGAAAAAATGATGATGTTCACGGAGAGTTTTGACCATACCACGAAAAAGAGCATAAAAACTTGCGTCAAATTCTTTTTTGCAATCAGCCACCTTTTTTAAATAATTCTCGAGGGTCACATTCTATATCCCGATCAGGATATTTTACTTTTAAATATTTTAAGTTTAAAAAATGCCGAAGCGTTTTCATCACACAAGTTCTACCTGCTGATATTTTGTGTTCTACATCACCTTTGCACTACAAGTGCCACATAAACTACTCAGGCACAAAAAAATTGGCTGGGATCGAGTCTGCAACTCCTGAATCGTTTCAGAAACCAAAGGTGAGACTTCACTACCCAATGGGATTTGATCTAAAAATAGCTGAAAGTGTATAACGACGGAACTACAAAACTGATGATCTAAAACTGAAAAAGAACGAACAGAAGATGATATTTCTTCGAAATTTCGATTGTACTTATACACTCGGCTGATCGCAAAACAAGGCGGTGAATGATTAGTTGTGTTTCTCAACCGTTAAAAACGTAATAAAAACGCGTGAGAACGGAAAATGAAACAAACGTTATGAAACGCGTTTACACACGTTGTATCCCATAGAAAACGCATGAAAATGGGTCAAAAAACGGAAGTTTCATAACGCGTTTTTTTACCGTTTCTAACGATTTTTTTGTGCCTGGATAGTTTTGGGCCGTTTTAGACTACGACTCTATTGTATGGAAACTACAAAAAGCAGATATCCTGATTGGGCTATAGAAAAAAATATATCCCAATCGAACTATAACATCCCGATCGGAATATATTTCTGTAACACGATTGGGATATGCTTCATCACTGTATTGATACTGATCAAAAATTTCAAAAACAAATATGCACGTTAAAAGAAAATATTATCAGAAATAATAATAACGAGAACTTTTTACAGCAAACAACAACAGATGATCTTCCAATTTTACGGTCAACATCAAATGAATTTTCACTACTACCGTCAAAACGTGTACGAAGAGAATCAGCAAATGATATTGAAAATGTATTATCGATTTATGTTAATGAAAGTATTTCAAATACAGTTGATAATAATGAAATATTTTTAAACTGTTTAGAAAGTAGTACGATGGACGATGTTGGATATGTTACACATAGTAATAAAATCGAATTAAATGATATTAAAAGTAAAATTTGTTGTGAACTTCAGTATATGATACAATAAACACAACTCTAGATTTGTCGATTCATCACTTGATCCAAACCTTGGTATGAAACATTTTCTTACTGAAACAAGTATATATTCAACAACACCAAAAGAATCGATAATCAACAAATACAACAACAACAATAAATACCACCTTCATACCGACAACAACTGAGATGATAAAATCATCAGAAATCGCCATATGTCGTGATCCATCAATAAGAAAAGTTCATAATGAAGTGGAATTATGATATTTAGTTAATGAAGGACCATACCAATCAGTATTAATGCATTATCAGGACGATGCAGTATTTAAAAAAAGAATCAAACATGTCACTTTACTTCAAAATGGTATTAAGAGTTTCCATTGATTGAATGAATATAGTCCGATAAAGAATTCAATTTATTGTTTTTGTTGTCGATGATTTGGTGACGGTCTGGGTAGTGCACAATCGGAAAATGCACGGACTACATCAGGTGTTAATACATGGAATAAAGTCAAAGGTACATAGATAAAAATCTTTCAAGCTTGATCCGTTTTGTTATACTGCATTTTTGTCACTTCTAGGTAGTCGAGGTTTTAACAAAAAAGAAAACTAGGACTACATAATGAAAGTGAAGCACATCTATCATCATAGCAATGTTACCGGAATTTTAAAAAACATGAAAGTAATACTGATTTTATGTTGGATCTATGATTGTTTTTACTTCTACTGTTAGGACACATATTAAACAAATCGAAACTAAACATGTCAAAAAATTATACAATGATAGATAAGTAGTTAAATATTTTTTTGATTTGTTTTGTTTTTAAAAATAGAAACATGAAATCACTTGGGGAATATTCCAGGTATTCTTCACATAGATGACAAATATTTATTGTATATCTCATTTCATATGTCCAAACAAATATAAAAAAAAATAAGAAAATACACCGTCAAGAGCAACAAAAAGTTCAAATAGCTAAATCAAACGTACAAGCAGTGTATGTAATATTCCTTTTCGATTTCAAAATGAATTTTATATCCAACAAGATGGAGTCGCAATGGGTAACCCTCTAGCACTCGTGCTTGCTGATGTATTTATGACAAAAATTGAATCAAAATTAAATCGATTCACTGCTAACAAATCTAAAGTCTGGGTTAGATACGTAGATGACATTTTCTACATATTTGAAATTGATCATGTACACATACTGTACGTATTAAATCGAATTAACAATTGGCATGCAAACATTAAATTTACGTTGGAAATGGAGAAAAATGGAGAGCTACCCTTCTTGGATGTGCTTATCATAAGATCGAAAAATAAATATGAAACAACCGTGTATCGCAAGCCAACAAATACCGATTTATACATGCAATTCGACAGTAACCAATCGAGACAATACAAATTAGGTTTGATAAAAACACTGACCATTCGAATCTTGAGAATATGTTCCACGAACGAACACCAGAAAAAAGAAATCGAGCGATTAAAAGAGGTGTTAGCGGACAATGGATATCCATCACACATCATACGCAAAGGAGTACGTGAAGGAGAGTTAATAACAAAACGATTATCAAAACCAACACAAAAATGGCACCTGTTTGAACAATCTATTTCACAATGGTTTACTATGGTCTTGAATCGATAATATTCGCGGCACGTGTCAAGGAAGTATGCAAACGACTCATGCCACTTGTAAAAGTGAATTTCGCTTTTCGAAAAACACTAACTAGAAAAAGTGTATTTCTTCTCATAGCAAAAGGAAATGACGCATCGAAAAAATTGAAAAAACTACGTAGTTTACAAAGTACATTGTAAAAACTGTGATCCTGTTTACGTTGGAGAAACGAAAGACGAGAATGGATGAGCATGCACAAGACATACGAAATGATAAAGTGACATCGGATATTGCTCAACATGCACTAGAAAACTCTCATGAAATTAATTTTGACAACGTTGAGACACTTGCGCTTGAAAATGACTGGAGAAGAAGAATTATAAAGGAAGGTATCTTCACACAATTAACATATGGAAAGGCGTTCAATGATACTAAGCATTCACTAAGAGTGTTTCGGTAAGAATAAGTGATCAATCCATGTACTTGGAGAGTATATGGTTTTTGTGACAGTTACCCATGTTCTTTCAGAACACACATATTGAAGCGCTTCAATATGTGTATACATAATTACATCAAAAGAAAAAGACAAAGAAGAGAGAACGAAGTTATCAAAGTGTTTATAATTTTTTTACTGTTGATGATGACCTAAGAATAGGTTGAAAGTTTTGCATCTGATTTTGTTTTATATTGATTCTGTTTAGAATTTATAAAATAAAGGAAAATAAAAATGTTTACAGCAGTTCTTTACTCCATCCTATCTTATCTTCTTCCTACTGCTTTACCTTCGGGTTTTACAGTTAAAATATTAATCGATTGTGCGAAATAATTATCAAGAAAAGATTTAGCTTTTCATAGTCACGTTGTTATTAGATGGTAGCGTTCAAGAGACAAGTTTGCTCATAAAGTCCGCAATTCAAAACCGCATTTTTCTCCTGAATCGCAATTAAAAAATAGAGCATTTTTTTTTAGAGCTTATTTTTTCGATAACACGTTTCACTTTTGCCCCTTCTTTCTCACATTTTTGAGAACACTTTTGTTAAAAAAGTTTCCACCAAAACGCGTTTTTTAATCCCTTGAGCGTTTTGGTAGAAACTACACTTTTTTTAAGCCCCTGCGCATGTGAAAAATGAAGAATGTTTTAGATGTGATTCCGTACTACGTTCAAAAACTATTATGCATCCTCTGATTTTAAGAGGAATGTGTTAAAACCTGGAAAAAAACTTATCATGATTACTCTCAGTCAGAGTTGGAACCAACTGACTTTCTTCCAGCTGCGCCACCCGATCGAAAAATTCAAATAAATCGGTAAAAACTGGCCGATTTTCTAGGAGATCTTAAAGGAAGTGTTTGTGCAATGATTTCCGTTTGGCCCGTTTTTGTGAACGAATAAGAAGGGCTTTGAATTTCGTTTTCAGATATTCATGTGGATTACAATGGGCTACTTTCAATGATTCACATAGTGCTCTATCGAACTATGTATGATTGAGACATGAATTTCTTCGACTTTTTCGAATAGGACCGATTTTTCTAGCAGACTTACCCCCGTTCATTCGGTTCCAGAGACATGAAATCGAAAAATGTTCAAAATAAGATATGAGGAAATTTTCAAGGCCGCATTTTTTTGTGCTAAAAAAGTCGTACTGAGTAACGCTCGGCAATTTAACTCCTGTCCTGTTGATCCATTTTACACTGAAACCATAACCTTTTTATACTAAAATGATCAGCGAACACTAACCACTTCATCACTTTTTCTCTTATGAAGTTGTGAACCTATCTCTCCTGAATTTTATTTGAATATGTGGTTACCAGATGTGCCCTGCCAGAGCAAAGAATGTAAACATCACGCGATGTTTCATTGTTTAGTAATTCATCACAGCAGACGCCCTTCAAAAATGCCTACATACATAATTATTATAAACGAAAATAAAGTCGTTGAAGTCACTTTCACTCTTCAGAAGGGCAGTGCAACAAATTGTCACTCACTTCAGACTTACACGAAATTGCAATATAATGCAGTATTTGTGTCAATAAAAAGATGCTTATTTGTTTTATTGTTTATTTGAGAGACACAATTGGAAGGTCTATCGACACGAACGATGAATAATCAAAACATGTAGCTTCCATTTCTCCAGAATGATGTGACATTAATATTCCTAGTGGAGTTCCGTAGAATGAATTTGATTTAGTTGGATGTAGGAATTGATCTGATTTACACAGAGAAACGATGGGTTTTTAAGGGAAATTTGAAGCCAGTTTGAGCCGGTTGACCTTGAGGAGAAAAATTGCTTTTTTGGATGAAAACTACTTATCTGAGTGTCAGCTGACAATAAGAGGAGCGGACGAAAGTCAACAAAGGTTTTTCATATCGAAACGAATCATTAGTGTAGAGTTTTTAAATTTTACTTGGTGTATCACCTGACGACAAAAGTACCTTTTAAAAGCTAGTTTGTCTTTACAGAACACACACTCATTGTCAATCACTTTAGCCACATCTAGGAGCTCGATCATCTAGTTCAACTCGGAAAATTCAAATCTCCACGAGGATATTTACAATTTCACCATGAATTTTACTGAGCGTCACATCAGAAAGTAATTCTGATTCTTTTATTTTTAAAATGAATGCCATCCGCGCTCAAAAGACATCTACCCCTTAATATATGTATATATTTAAGCAATTATCCACTTGATCAGAGAAGCACGACACTACTATCAATTGCATATATTCTGCTTTTTCACTTCGTCGTTATGCTAGCGTAGTTTTCGAATCAGAATCTATTTTCTACAGTGATCTTGTTGAGACTTAGCCAAGTGGCATCTGTTCCAAATATCAGTATTAGTAGCTCGAATTCATTCGACAATAGTCATTCTGTTTTACTGACTGACATTTCTCTATGATAAGATACTTCTGCATAGAGTGATGAAATTTGTTCATGCTTCATCACGAACAAGAAAGACAGAGTACCATTGATGTATAACTGCAACTAGGAGCTTCTCTGAGAAAGTCTACTTTCTGGACGAGTTGGAGTTTCTTTTGTAAGTTCACAGGGGCTTTGTCTCTTCAGAGGGTTTAGCCCGGTCTACAGGCAGTGGATCATCAGGTTTCCAAATAAAAACGAAGAAAATTAGTTTAAAGCTGTTGAAACAGTTTTATTTTGTTAAATGTACTTTCCACATGTGTTTAAATGTCTTTAAAATGCTGCAGAAATTTACATATTTTTAAAAAACTCACTTGAATATATTTATAAAAAAGTGTGTTTAAACGAATGTTATACTTTAAATATGTGTAAACACATTTATTTCAAAAAATGTATTCAGACGTATTTGTTTAAAACCCAATTCAAATTTCTTTGATGTTAAGATAGGATGAAGTAGAGAACTGCTGTAAACATTTTTATTTCACTTTATTTTATAAATTCTAAGAGAATCAATATAAAACAAATCGGATGCAAGACTTTCAATCTATTCTTAGGTCATCATCAGGCAACAGTGAGAAAATTATAAACACCATATCACCGATAAAAAAAAATTGAAGTTTGTTTAGAGTTAAAGAAAAGTGCTTTTTCGTATTCAGCACACTTGATAATCTAGAAAATTTTCTATTTTTAGCGAGGGGTACTATCAAAAAGTTAAGAAAAATTTTCATACAAATTGACACAGAAAAATCCCCATGGTAAAATTAAACAATTTTAAAAATTTTTCTTAACTTTTTGGCGGTACCCCTCGCTAAGAATAGAAAATTTTTCAGGTTATCAAGTGTACTGAATACGAAAAAGCACTTTGCTTTAACTCTAAATGAACTTTAATTTTTTGTCGGTGATATGTTTGATAACTTCGTTCTCTTTTCTTTCGTCTTTTTCTTTTGATGTAATGATATATACACATATTGAAGTGCTTTAGTATGTGTATATATAATTACTTTTTGATCAATGAGTATAATACTGCGATAAAGTACATCTTGAAAATTCTGCTGAATTTTTCTTTTATTACTCGAGCTTTCGGTACGTTACTACGACCATTGTCAAGAGCGAATAAAGTTAGAATAAATAGTTGAAAATTCATACAGTTAAACAGTTGGAAAATTCATACAGTTGTACAGAAAGGAAGAATTTTCAACAATTTATTCTAACTTTATTCGCTCTTGACAATGATCGTAGTAACGTACCGAAAGCTCGAGTAATAAAAGAAAAATTAACAACAACAAAATAATAATTAGAATAATTCAACAGAATTTTCAACATGTATTTTATCGCAGTATATTATACTCATTGATCAAAATTTTATTACCAACTGCGTCTTCTCGGAATTTTTATCTAATTACTTCTTTGACATTGTGAAGATATGTAAGTACATTTATAAAAAAAATGCATATAAGCACATTTCGTATTCTACTTGCATTTTGAGCGATTTTATTTTCAAAACACATTTGAATATATTTTAAAATCAAGATATTTTATTAAATTTTTCAGTACAAAATACATTTAAATGCCTTTCGTATTCAAAATCTCTTCAAATGCACTTTTGAAATAAGTCAATTCAGAGGTTTTTCATTCTAAAAGTTGTTTAAATGTATTTAGTAAATAGGGAGATTTGAATAGATTTCACCCGGTACTTCGACTAAAAATGCATTCAAACAGATGACTAAAAACAATGCATTTAAACGGATTTATTGTAAAAATGAATTGCATCCAAATGTCTTGCATCAGAGCTGGGTAAGACCAGTCAAAAATGCCTCAAGTTCAAGTCAAGTCAGACTTAACTTGACTTGACTTGATCCAAAATTTCTGGAGGTATGGTTTGACTTGAGAAATTTTTTCAAGCCGAGTCATTTCTACTAAGAGATTTTTGTTTAAATTAGACTTTTACTATAAAAGAGTGTCTGGGGCTATAAAAACCCTCTCATCCAAAATGTGCTAGCAAATTTTATGTTCTGCCTAATTTTAACCAGACTTGACTTGACTTGGAGGAAAAAATTCTGAGGAGTGACTTGACTTGTCTTGTGACTTGACTTGTCTTGTGACTTGACTTGTCTTGTGACTTGACTTGTCTTGTGACTTGACTTGTCTTGTGACTTGACTTGTCTTGTGACTTGACTTGTCTTGTGACTTGCCCAGCTCTGTCTGGCATATCCCAAATATTTATAAATATGTTAGGAAACCAAATAAAAGAGAATGGCACATTTCTCTAAAAATTATCGCAATGGGAATAGAAGAAAAAGGTCTTTGTTCTTTATCTTAAATGTAAAGCTGTTGCTCTAAAGAATATTTACTGTAGGAGAACTTGCACATTTTTTTCTATGTTTGCATACCAAGCAAATAAATGCAAAAACCAACCTTTTTTACCTGCTCTTTCTGTTTTTTTCTGAATGTTTATTGTATTCTTTGAATGTTTCCTTTCCTGTGACTGTGTTCACAACGAAGAAAAACGAATTCTGTTATCCTCTGCAGACAGCGCACGCATAGCTTTATTTATTCACTTCACTATTTCTAATAAAAACTTTCGCCACAATGTGTTGGTGCTGTCACTGTTCTGGCTTGTACAGATGTTTGCCCATCTTGCACGGCATTATCGCTGTTGTGGAATGTGCTTTGGGTATTGCGCGCATCGTGCTCTTCTCCTCGCCCAACTCTTCGTCTGGGACGTATACGACCATCGCGAAAACGTACAGTAGCACGTATGTGGCAGCATTTGTCGTTGATTGTGTCAGCTCGACAGTTCCCATTCTGATGGGTTTGTCCATTCCTTTGTTAATGATTGTGATGTGTTGTCGGTCTTGCTGTCATAGCGACATTGATGAAAATCGACGAACGGCCAGCCAACGTGTCGCAGATATGGAGGGAATACGAAAGCTGCGTCGTGTTTTCTTTAACAAAGCTTTTCATCGCTGTCTCATACTCAACTGCAACTGTCCGTGCTACAAAGCTCGACCCAAACTTCGCTTTCAACATCGTTTAGCTTTTCTTGTCGTATGTTTCGTGCTACGTAGCGTAGCTACTGCACTCTACGCTACAGCACCCGCCGGAGACAATGACAGTCGAATACTGGCTGCTCTTTGTGGCGCGTCACTCGCATTTCTATTCCTCACACTTATATTAGACTTATATCGTTATTCGGTATGGTGGCATTACACGCCACAAAATGATACTCATTGCTATTGCCGATCGAGGAAACATGAACGATATATACCATATCACTTGATAGGCGATGATCGGGATGCAAATATGTTAGGCGATCGGCCGTGTACGAAAGAAGATTCATGTCGCAAGACGAGACTCGATCATATTACCGTTTTCCATTCGCGCGACTATAAGCCACAGCGTCGTTGGCGAGACGTGAAGGATGATCCGGATAATAACCATACATTTCGTTGCACAAAATGTGATAAGAAAGGCAATAAGCCGCATTATATCGGGTTTCATACCACTACACCCGAAGCTGCCAAATCCATTGCGCGCAGTCATTTTCGACCAAGCTGGAAAGGAATGCTTGGCGCCGGGGTGTATTTCGCCCGTTCACCCGCAGTGTCAATGGGAAAGGCGAACCATAGGGGCGCTTGGATTGTTGCCGAGATCCGTATGGGGCGAGTGTTTGAAATTGAACGACCACTTATTATGGGCGGAAGCCAGACGTACGATGCTGAAAAAGCCGACTTTGTTAGATTGTCAGCATGGCACACAGAATATGATACGTGCTATCTCGTGCACAATGAAGATAATCGCGATGAATTTTGTATTAAAGATCCAGCGACGCAAATCATAAAATGGACGATCGTGGTCCAGAAAGAATTTGACAGCAAAGTGGCAAGCTATGGACTCGATACAGAATTCGACTCGACCGAATGTTATTGTATTTAAGGGTGAACTGCTTTTCTGACGCACCCGTGACCACTGTCGAGCTTTTTTTAAAATTCAACAAAATACGATAATGGATGCAGGAAAAAATATTTCTGAAGGCAGATGAGACACTGACCAGTTTTCTCTTCAGGAACAGAATGCAATCAAGGTCGATCGTTAAAACGAGTACACGACAATTCTATTTATAAATACGTTTTTTTTCTCTAA